CTTATATCCTTTAACACTGCATTAAAGCCCTTCTGGCTCTCAGCATGCATTATGACTTGTGTAGCTTGTATCTGTATGGATTAAGAGGATGAGACAGGGGGTTGAATTTCTTACCGCATCTCCACAGGCCAACAAGCTGGATTAGTGACCCTATCACACTGAGGGAATTTATATGAAACTTGAATAAAGAAACAGACAAATCATTGTATAGCCAAAAGGGCATATACATGAAAGAGACAGTATCGTATAAAGAAATATCATATAGAGAACTAATGTTGAAGAGGCCATTAGACATGTTTAGTCAAACTTAAGTGTCAACTTTGATGACAGTTACCAATCATCAAAGCACACTCAAGTTTAGTCATGTCAGTCGGTCATAAGGTTTTTGTATTATGATGTTAACATTACAAGTGGACCTTGATTTTTTAATTGAGTTTTTATCTATCTATACATGTTGATATGCGGTGTTCAGACTATGAAAAAGAAGATAATCACAGAGTTACAAGTATACAGTTTTTGCAAAACAGTGAATTTGCTAGTCTGAATAAAGAGGGGGGGGGGGTACATGTAACTAAATGAACAACAAACTCTTGGGAGATGTGGACGAGGTTTAGTGTAGTTGATGGGGGTATTAGTATCTACAGATATGCATTAATAAGAGATGTAAGGAAGAAACAAAAATAAAGCAGCATAGCAGTGGATAATGGGGGATTAATCTCCAGAAATACACATCTAATTCCTCACCTACAGTATTCACATAGCCCCAGATGTTATACTAAAGACATCAAACAGACAAATCTTGCATATTATACTGGTAATTACCAGCTAACATTCATAAGTTAAGGATATGCTCTACAAAATGAATTTATTTCCTTGTATATTGCATTTGCAAAGGGAATTCAAAACAAGAATATTTTTGTCAAGTACCTTTGAGTACTTTTATTAATTTGAGGCATCCTGATATTAATTTTTCTGAAGATATACAAAGCAGTAACCTTCTTGCTATCTTAAAAAGCAGGATTTAAGAGCAATTTCCTGAATACAAGCATTGAGGGCATGCACACTTCATTCCCATCAAATGTGGATATGAAGCATGAATCTATCATTTCGAAATTGAAACAAATGTGAATTTGATATCTACTGAGCCCTAGCCTAAATCCATAGATTGAACTGGCTTTGGTTTGGATGCATCTAAAAATACCCTATGGAACCATGGTAGTAGGTCTTTACAAACAAACTCCACTCTACCAAGAAACAGCCTCCTGACTGAACATCTTCAATTATTCAGAACTCATTCTGTGTCCTAATTACAGGCAGGCAGCCATCTTGAAGCTTGTAGGCAAGCATGTCCTCCTGTTCATCTACTTCATATTATTCACCATCTTTCCATCCCACCATCTCCGTTCCTCCTCTACCTGATGTGACCCAAGAGTCACATTTAGATTGATGCTCCAGAATCTAACCCAGTGCTCGTGATGCTCCAGCTTCCCACTCAATGCTTGTGCGCATGTCGGTTTAAAGGAACTAGTCGCCCATAAATATATCGCTTTGGATGGTATTTCATGAATTTACGAAATTCAGTTTATCAACTTCAAATATGACTTTAGTCACAAGATAAAAGTTTTTAATACCGAAATCCATCAACTTCTCTTCAAATCAAATAAAGGCAAAAAGCAACTTATAAGTACACTATGGAAGTACACACACTTAGGCAGGAATGCATGCTCTCACGTCACACAAGCCAACTCCAAGTAACTTTTCATGGCGGATATACTAAGTATTCACCCCCCCCCCCACCCCCCCCCCCCCACCCTATGCTCTTAAATCCTTAATCATTTGAATGTCTCATAGTTTGTGGGTGGTTTTTATGTTTAAAAAGTTCTAGAGATCCTACACAATTCTGAGGGGTTTGGACCCTTTTACTACATGAATGGGGAGTAAACAATTAATAATTCATTTAGATGACATCCAATAAACGTAATACAAATCAAATCAAAATCAAAATCGCATTGTGAAAGAAACGTTGTGGAATCGATCAGAAAAGTGATCATCTAGCATATAAGTATTGGTGTGTACTGCAAGGTTCTGGAATCATCAAAATCATAAGAAATTTGGCCCCAGAAAGATGTATATGGGACTACGCACACGTGAGCAACACGTGCGTACATAATATCTATCACATCCCAATAGATAAACTAATTTACCAAATATATCAATTAGTAGGCGGTTTCTCAGCAAAATTTGTATGATCACGTATTAGTCAAAACATATTCTTTCACATGATTGGTAATAAGAGCTTCCAATTCATTTTTTTAGAGGGGGGCGTTTCCCAAACTAGTCTTTACCTTTAGCTAGATTTAAGTAACAAAGCATGTATTTTTGTACATGAATGTGGTCTCACATGTGTTCATTCACATGATCAAAGCAACATTCTAAAATAACATTTTCTTCTCTTTCTGCACATAATGGCAATAAGCGGAAGGCAGTGTGGTAGTGTGTTTCCTTTAACACACCATGACCTAAAGGTTACTGTGTCATCATGCAAGAGAAATGCCAAGGGCTCTCCACACACTAGCTAACCTCAGAATATACTTCAGTTAAGAGGACTTATTGATAAAGATCTTGCATTTATATAAGTTCTATGAAATTAATCTTAGCCATAGCTCGAGATATTGCATTTTTCATACTTGTGGCACATTTAGCACTTTCATGCATAAATGTCATATCCATGAAGAAAAAGCAATCAGGGAGATACCATTTTTAAACGTATTAAATCAGAAAGTGATTTTGCTTCAGGAAGAAAGAGAAGTGAAATAGAGAAAGATCAACCTTCAAGGAAATCTTTTGTTGGTACAGTCACACCCTCAACCACCCCCCCCCCTAAAAAAGAAGAAAAAGAAGCTACAAGAAAGTAATATTTACAATAGGAAGACTACCAAAGATGTGCATTTAATTTATACTTTCAAGAGAACATTTTATACTTCTCCCTGTACATATAATGCAACCAGATGGGTACTAAAACATTAATTTTACACCATCCAAATCAAAATGTCGCTTTCTAATTAACTAAGGAACTAAAGGTGGATATGAAACAAGTCACATGAGTGTGCCTACACACATGATGTAAGACGGCATTTAGTATAATGTTTCATTCCCCACAGGTTGAAGCTACATTATAGAGCTGATCAGAGATACAATGTACGGATTGACTTTCATGGAAGAGCAGAAAGGTTCCAGGTGTGCTAGTGGCTAGTTTCTAATTCACATCACTCTCGGTTTCACAGCTAAACTAGAGCACAAAGATAAGTACTAAGAATAATCAAAAGATTTCCCAGGCATCCACATTGTGCCATTTGTAACCAAATGATATTTTAAAAATCTGCAGTTTCATTTGTAAATCAGGAAGTCTAGGTTGAATGAAAATCACAGTCAACTACATCAAACAGTTTTGTTACTAAACCTGTTCTTTAGTATGCAAAGGTATAACATTTCAATTCCCATTTTCAGCTACACATACCTACATGCCTACAATACAATAATTTCAATTTTACATGAAAACTCCATGATATCATATTTGGGGACATTTCTCTCTCATTTTCCCTCCAAATATCAGCTACAAAGGTAGTTACAAGGGAGACAGAATGGATACTTTTAAAACCACCCCTTACAACCTATGTTCTGTGTCAAAGTCCATTTTCCTACAGGCCCTTTCAATTCTTTATATCATTGTTGAACTTTGAGCTTTAAAAGAGCCCTGCTGAACCAAAGAATGGGGAGTGTGAATGGGGGTAAATGTGCCCCCCTCCCGCAAAACCAATTCTGGCATATAAGAAAAATAGAATTATGCAAATTTTTGGAGATGTCCAGATTGGTGAAGATTCAAGCCACATGATTGAATTACAACAATACTAAATCTCTGGGAATCTTGCACAAATCTCATCCAGTGAAAATTGTCCTACATTTAATTTTGCAATAAGTTTATGTAGCAAATTTTTCTGGATTTACAGAAGAAAAAACAAAATTTACTAAAGTATCTTAATATCTAATATCATTAGTGTTTGTGACCATGATTTATCTATTCCTATGATTTCATCTCTTTTTCTCTCAAGACTTCTTTTTGTTGACTGATGTTTTCAGACTAAATTATCAGTATCGATCCATCACCAGCAGATACAGAGTCATGAGGCCTGTTTTCACTAGCTCGAGATTGCCAAATATCCCTCTATTTGAACTATCCCGATCGCAAACTATCCAGTTAATTTGCGCCTTCATCAGCCCGAAGTTGCAATTAGCGGGATATTTGGTCTGAATTGTCATCCCAAGATATCTTGGGATAGTTTGCAAAATATCCCACTATTTGGCAAAATATCCAGCTATTTGTCCGGTGCGTCTTCACCACACCGAAGACTCGCACTATGCGCTAACACTGAGTAAAATATCTCAAGCTAATTTCTCAAGGTCGAGTTTCAAGTTTCGAGGTCGAATCTTTAGCTGATGAAGACGAGATTTGTAACTTCGGGATTATTTCCCAAATCAGAAATAGCGGGCTATTTGGCAATCTCGAGATGATGAAGACGTGCCTAGTATGCTAGTTTGTGGCTTTCTTCAGACTGCAGTCTTATTGGTTATAGAGAAAAGGCTTTTATCATGAAAGAATATAGTTGCGGTGTTGGGATGGTGAAGGAAATAAACCACAACTTGAATCAGCACATTACCTGACAACAGCATATCATCTGTTTAGAACCAGAAAGGCAGTAGTTTATACAATTTAATACAGTTAACATCCTTCTGGCTCCAAACATGTTATGTTCTTGAGTTAAAATATAGAAAGCAAGGACACATCGGAAGAGAGATACTTGGTTTCAAGTGATATTGGAATAGAATGAATACTGATGAAAGGAAACAAGAGGTTAACTTCATCCGCAATCATTATTCATAATTCCCAGCAGCAAAATAATGCTATGGGACTAAAGGAGCTGTTTTGTTGTTGTGTTACTTACTTTGTTCCTGATGAGCAGGGCCTCAATAAATACTGACACATAGGCAGCAGAAGGAAAGCAAATGCTACTGTAGCTAGTACTGTCAAGGAGAACAAATAAGGAAGACAAACAAAAAATATTATTAATCACAAAGCATTGAAAACGAAAAGTCATTAGCATTGATTGATAAATCGTCCTTGTTTTCACGAAGTGACGGTAGTGAGGAAAATCGTAACGCAAAGTGAATGCAATTTTTTTTCACTACCGTCACTTCATGAAAACAGCGACGAAATGTCGAATAGTCTCTTTAGATTCAGAAGGAGGCAAAATATGTGTTGAAGTATTATGAATTAATGCCGCTCTGGCTCCATCCATACAGACAAAATTTGCTTTCAAATAGCCCAAGGCTAATGGTCGAATTTGAATTAATTTCCGTCTCAACAGAGTTGTTTATTTGTAAGACTGAAGTTTAATTGCTATATTTATAAGAAATATATTATTTGAAGCCTCATTAATCACAATAATTTGAAGCTTCAGAATAAATCTTTAGAATAATGACTCTCTGGATAGTTAGAGACGATGGGCTTCAAGAAAAACAAGCTGTTTATCCTGACTTGGTTCAAAACAAGGAGTCTCAGTGTCTTGAACAGTGTCATTATATCTTCTGAGGCTCTTGAATATTGATGGGATGACTTTCATCTATAATGCAGGCCTGGGTGATATGGTACGGCAGCTAGGCACTATGGTGTAGTGTGTCCCTATTGGTCATTTCAACACGATCTAGATGCCCTATCAGGAGTGCAAAAGAGGGCACAGGTGCGAAACAAAGTGCCATTTACACAGAGATGAAATGACTAAATCTATAATGGTATTAAAAGACAGATTCTGATGGAGCCATCGAGTCACAAAACATGCAAAACTCATCCTCTTTTGACATGCATAAGTGTAAGATGTTTTGGATAATAACTGTAGAGTTACCGGTATATGATAAGTGATTGAATTTTCTTTGTCAGAAAAGTCACGTAGCAAAACAGAGGTTTGAGCATTGTTTTCACCAAAAAGCGATAAAGAATCAGTATCCAACTCCAATGTGAACATCACATTTTACAATTTATATATAAATGGGCAGGGATTATTTTAAGCACACGTTGAGATTTTAAGGGGCACCTGTTTAACATTTCCAATTTCATTATAGTGATGCAAGAAGTTAAAATGTACAAATCAAAATCAAATGGCTAGCATGAGAAAAATGTATGGGTTCCGCTTTTTTCTTTCCGTTTATAGATTTCTGTAATTAATAACATACGCCTATAGCAGGAAACACACACTTGGCAAACATATAAATTAGTACTTAACTGTTTCTATTTTGGTTTGTGCATACAGCAGATAATTTTGTAAAGCTGCAATGACAGTTAATTGCCTTTGGTTGAAAATGTATTGTGAAATAAATGGCTCATTAATATCAAGCAGCTCTCAAAGCAAGATAATTTGTTTATTAAAAATGATTTTGAGAAGGAAGAAAGAGACAATTGACCAAGCTAGACCAACTCATAACTGACCAAAAGTACCCCCCCCCCCACACACACACACTCCTCACCCTGTTCCCAATGCAGTGAGGTATTCTCCTCTTCCAATCCCTATTGTACGTAAATGGGGCAAGCTATATGTACCCGTCATGTATGATGTATTAGGTATCTTGCTGGTTAGGTGTCTCATGGGGGGAAAGTGAAGAACCAAGCCTAGCTTCCACAGCAGATGGAATTACAAATGGGTTGCATGGCCCTAGAGATGTGATTTCAAAGCATACAGATAGACTCGATGGGAAGATGAATATTTAAAAGGAATTGTACAATACCCACAATCCACTTCCACTAGACATCCTTCTTACTAACAAATCTTTACTTGGCTTGTTAATTCAATGTGCTATACATGTAGCTCAACAGTTATAGAAGTAGTCTCCCTACCAGAAGGTCATTTGTTCATCTCCAAAAGACACAATTCCAAAGCATACAGATAGAATGGGTAGGAAGGCCAATATTCAAAATTAAAAGTGCCATATAATTCATTGTATGCCCTCATGTTTATCCAATTAAATATTTGGGTTGCTAATTAAATATGCCATATTATGGCTGAGTAATTAGAACAGTACAATAGGACCAGCGAAAGATAGTGGTAATGATTTAAAGGCAATACTGGTAATCTGGTACTCAAATAATTAAGAAAATGCCTAACTTTCTTCGCATTCTACCCCATCTACTGTTTTTTCCCCCTTCCCCCTGGGGTTCCTTATCTGGATACAAAGATTTTTATATCATCATGTGAGCACAGGCATTTTGCTTTTCAAGTTTTTGGCTCCTTTTTGACATACTTCCTAAAATCATCACTTTGTCTAGTTTTTGTTGCTTTTACGTTATCATTTTGTCTGATATGTCTATTGTACCTCCAATCAGAACCTACTGGTAATAAATGCGAATTCCGATTCAGTTGAATAATAATTCTACCACTCTAGATTCAGAAAGACTACAGTGAGCTAAAACCAGTTCTCCATACAGTGACAAGGACTTTTCAGGACATTTATCTCACGATCGATCGCATCAAAACAAGGGGAAGCACATCATTGTGAATGACCTCAGTAAAACAAGCACATGGATGACGAGCGATGATCTACATTTAAAAGTGTGTTTATGCTCAATTTTTAGGGCAGAATGAGAGATTTGACACGCTAATCGTAAACGCTCATCGTAATCGCAGTTCCAAGGTGTACTGTTTATGCTCACTTCTCTGGCTCCTCCAGGCATGATTCTGGCTCTGCAGCTGGATTCGCAAACCTGCACTGCACATGCTACGTTGACCCCATTTAAACGAGTTTATAAATGATTGTGCGTTTATGCTTCCCCAAAATCGCCGATCCAAAACGCACCTTTTTGTGAGTTTACAATCTGCAATTCTACAAAAATGAGAAAAGGACGCAACCGTGTTTTGAACTAAACGCGTAACAAATGCCTCATTCTGGCCAGAAAAAATTGATCATAAACGTACCCTAAGGCAGCGGAAGGTGGCATGGCAGTCATTCAATGCAGGATGTCAAAGGGAAAGGAAGTGCCATAGTTCCGGCTGGGTGTCTCCCAAATGTTCTGCTTCTGATAATGACCCTTACTGCCTTAGTGGCTAGACTAGTCAATTTAGAAACATAAGTCCACATGATTTTCTGAAGTGTGTCAACAGGCTTGCAGCACTAATAATGTTAACCCTGGTCTCTAGTTGAAATGTCTCAACTCCCCATGAAAATGTATGGAGTGATTCTGACGTATGCAAACTTACAAAGTCTGCTCCACCCCTTCTCTCTCTATCCTCCCCTTCCTTCTCTGTCTCTGAATATATCTTTACCGGGTATCTTCTTTCTTCTCTGTTTGTCCATTCCCTCTCTCTTCCCCTCCTCTCGCTCTTTCTCTCTCTCTCTCTCTCTCCCCCCCCCCTTCTTCCCTTCCTTCCTCATTTCACCTGTACACCAGGGCAGTTAACCATAGCAATTAACTTGGTTGAAGGGGCGGTACCCCTCTCTATCCCCCCCCCCCCCACCCCTGACTTGGTTGAAGGGGTGGTATAGGGATAGGTCCAGAGCTCCAATGATTCAGATCACTGTCATTCTGTCTTTGCTCTATCCATGATGTGACTTGAATAGAGGGGGCATGGTGGCTAACAAGCCAATTAGTTGGAATCCTTGGCATTGATTTGGAAGTACAGGGGAATCAACAATGGTTTAAAGGTAGTCATCAAGTAGTCTCAGGTTCTGGTTACAAAACCAACTCCCAAGTTATCAGCCAAATAAATATGAAGGAAATCATCTGTATTCTATAGGGAGCAGGACCCCCTTTAATAAAACTATCATGGCAACATCGTTTAACAGCTAATCAAATCAAGGTATCCAATGGTAAGTTACAATCAATGGCAAAGTTACTATCAATGGTAAGTGTTATTCAATAGAGGCCCTGGACTCTGTATAAACTCATACCTTAGTCACACCAACGAGACCAACACCAGACCGACCCCAGACCGACCCCAGACCGACCCTACAATTACAGGGTGGTTTGCAGTCGGTGTGACTGGGATGGTACGAGATAAATACTCTTTAGGTTCTTAGTAGACAACATATTCTCAGAAATGTGCATACCTACATGTTTGTGTTGTATTTGTGTGTTTTTTCTTTTTTTGTAGGCCTACGTGATATTCAGCAAGACTTTGCTGGTCCAAGCAACCCATTCATGAAGAGTTTAAGCTCTTATTCATTGGGATCACACAATGACCTGTACATTCAATTTATAATAGGCCTTTATAATTCCATAATGGAGTATTCTTCTGATTGTGTACTATATAAAATAAATACCAGAGAAGAAAGGGTAAGCCAACTGACCCGACATGAATGCAAGCACTATGAATTCATCAAAGAACTTTGATGACCTTTTAGGACTTCATCAGGAGAAAAACAAAATCACCCCATGAATGTTTCATAAAGACTCCGACCGCTACCACTCTATGCATTTACATTTTTCTTTTTTATTTGAGTTGTTGACCCTACCATCCATCTTGTAATTGGTTCAGCCTCTGGGCATTTCTATGGGAAGTACCCACTTAGTTTCCAGGTCATCTGTTAGCGCAGAAAATATCCGCCCTCTAAACTCCGGGATTCTATCTTTCATTCTACACACCCCCTGGAGCTGAATGCATCGCTGGCAAACAATGCAAATATGAAATGCTCATGCAATATTGATTGGCTATCACCGTAGGGGATGCTAATGGCATATTAAGCACTTTAATGGGCTGGACTGATCTATAATGTGAATTAATTATAACTGTTCATCTAAAATTGATATGCATAAGAAGTGACCTCTGATTTTATATGCATTACACAAGTAAAGGATTTCCAACAATTTTGCCTATAATAAAGTGTTTATTTCAATCATTCATAATGATTGCAAGATGTCAGAAATTTAAATGAAATGTATTGAAACCTGGCAGTGCAGAAATGTATACTTTCTATAAGTACAATTCAGAAATATATTCATGTATAATCCACTTTAACTGAAGTCTCTGTATGCTATACAGCCAAAAATATACAGGAGCTGAAACCAACAAGATTACAAAATCCTCTGGACAAGTAGGACCAGTAAAGAAAGGTAGAAATTGTTCCAAAAGAATTTGTTCTATGAAGAGTATTAGTCAAACTCTGATTTTACACATAAAAGTTTATATCTACAAATTGAAATGGACAAGTTGCAGCATTAAAATCTAAACCAATGGTATTTCAAGGCTACTTGAGACCTTGAGCTATTCAACGATATCGAAGAAATTTACCCAGCATGGAAGCTGTAACTATATCTACATGTAAGTGCATAAGATATCTAATGTAGGAATGGTGCGGCATGCATCTCCATCAGCCATGTGCTATACTGTTCAAGGAAACTTTTATTAGATGATCTGCTTTAGAATGCATGCATCCCATGGATGAACCAGCTAGTCCAATAAGACTAGAGCATAGGAGCTAGCTGCTTCAGTAACTTGATCAAGCAACCGACATGTCTGTAATGTGCCCACCATGCTTGATATGCAGTGCATGTGTTTGGTATGCGGGCATGTCTGCACTTGGCATACACAATGAGGCGGTATAATGAGGAGCAAAAATAGATATATTAACTCATTTGAGGAGAGAGAGAGAGAGAGAGAGAGAGAGGGAGAGAGAGGGAGAGAGAGAGAGAGAGAGAGAGAGAGAGAGAGAGAGAGAGAGAGAGAAGAGAGAAAGATAAACAGAGAGAGGCGAATAGAAACAACTAATTGCAAATACACAATATTACTTTTTATTAATTTAGATATCCAAAAAGCAAACCATTGATGCATGAATAATTAAGATGAAATCTCCTTAATCCATTTAAATCAAAGTCTAAATTTGTCCATTCAGTTTGTGAATGCATTTATTTGTCTGTACTTTCAAATCAAATATTATAATAATAATGCTATCTAGAGAAGATAGTAAATCATTATTCATCAAACTTGTGATTTTGGAATGAGAAGATCACATTATGTATTCCAAGCCAGAAGGACGTTAATTCTGTGTTAAAGAATATGATTTAATGTCCTTCTGGCTCTTAACAGTCAAGTGAACCTAGCTAAGCCGGTAGGACACTGCATCCTTCATTTCAAAGCTGGATTAAGCACGACTAGCTATCCCTTGATTGTCAGTGATCATCAAGCAATAGCCAAGCAGTATCTGAACAGTGAGTGCATGATGAATCGTTAAAGATTCATGAACTGGCAACTGCACTATGTTCCAACACCCTAATGCTCCGACAAATAGTATGGTCCACATGTGTCAAATTCAATTGGGTTAGGTCTCACTCATGGCGAACATGAACACGAGCCTGTCTTCATCCTAGATTTGTCCAATTGTTTCAAATAAACAGTCCAATAATCCACATACATGTAAGTGGAACTTATTAGGCTGGACCAACAATGTATTAAAGAAGCTCAACATGAAGAAAATGAAATATTGAGACATGGTCACCCTTGAGCATGAGTTTAAAACTATAAAGCAGCATCTGATTGGCCTCCATGTGAGGCCCTTATAAAGCTATGGGCAGTGAAGTTAATATGTATAAGGTGGAGAGGACAGAAAGTGAGATATTTCTAGCCCTATCTTAGAGGAAAAAGCTATTACGTATATACCACATATGTTCAAAATATGCCTAGATGTAGGAAACAAGATCTTGAACTCTTCTGATTAGCCCAGTGGGACTGTGCAATAGCAAAGTTTAACTTTAAATCACCCTTTGATAAGCCAGGGTCATGCTTTTGTTCATACATAACATACATGTACTGTACATGTAATTCTTGTTCACACTGTAATGGTACCAGAAGCCATTCCATTCAAATAAGAAAGTTAAATGTGATAGTCTGTAAGTAATCTTCACATACAAGTCAAATCTGAACAGCACTTGAACCAGAGATACATGTAGATGTGAAAGCAAGGTCAGCATACATGTACATGTACATCCCAACGAACGAACACAACACAAGCTGGTGAACAGTTGATAGGAGAGAAACTAAATCTGGTGCTTGATTGAACAGCTGAGTTGAGTTGATGGACTGGGCAAATTATGCAAGTGTCACATGCTTTCAACTTAGCTCTTCGTTCAGTATCCTCTTACCAAGCGGGAGGTTTAACCCAATTCTTTTCCGTTTGAGAGTGCAGAAAAGCCTGGCATGTTTTGATAAGTGCTCTCTGAAAAAGAGACTGATTTTTAAAGTTTTTATGGATTTGGGTCTTGATTTGGTTATCTAGAACAGTAGAAACTGTGAATTATTAGAATGGTGTTTGGTTTGAAATGGATATTGATGTCTTGCTTACACTGGTGGGGGGTGTTTTGATGACGCTATTATGAAAACACAAATGCCATTTCCATTCCAAGGTCTAAATTTTAAGAAAAGAACTGTTTGAAATAGGGAATTGGAATTGCCTTTGAGTGGACTTCTTGAAAGTATTTGCAATCATATTTCCCGCTTTCTCACAGCAAGTGCAGGATATATTTAAGTGATGGAAGCTGAAATGCTTATAATGCCAATAATAATAGTAGGCTAATTGTTTCTTAGAAAAAGCTTTTCCATTTGATAATAGCTGAAAGGGCTTTGAACACACACAAAAAGGGATAAAATCGTCCATCTCTGTTTTTTGTTGTTATACTGACCAATCTCAAAACAATCACTGAGCAATTTGGTAAAGACTTATTATCTTTGTATTACCACAAGCCTGGAACACTAACACATGCAATTTTTGACAATCCAAGATATACATTTTCTATACTTTTATACTATACTTCTATACCTTTCATTTCCTACTCTAATATCTAAAAATCCCAGATGAGAGAGAAGGACTGGACCATCGGATCACAGTTAGCCATCTTGCTGCATGTTATTTCACAGAGCAGAAAGCTATTAAGTACATTTATTCATCTCCATGATATATTACTCTCCCATTTCATCTTGACCATCCTCATAAATTGTCCAGCATTATCTCTTTAATATCCTTTCATATCTCCTATTATCAGTGTTCAGAACCAGAAGGGCATTAACTCTGTTTTTAAGTACATGAGTTAATGCCCTTCTGACTCCAAACAGACAATTTGATGTTTAGGTTTCGGTCTGAAGATGTGGGTTGATTTAAGATCACAAGCGGATGAAGTGAAAGTAAAGCCAAAAGTACAGTTCCCCCAGTATCTTTGCAGCTATCTATTTCTCTAGTTATTTCATAATAAATAGCTATGTTGACATACAATGTACATGTTGAATCGTCACAGTTTTGAACTTGAAGTTTGTGAGACATTGAAGTTATTTATAAACAATGATCTAATAACAACGATAAGGGTTCACACAGGACAAAAACAAGTATTCAGAGTTTCAAAGTACACGTCAGGCAAGCAATCATTGTGGCAACCTTAATTGTTTGCATCCATGCTTCAGGTGTAGTCCCATAAACACATTTCTGTGTACAATGAATATGACATTTAACAATACCTTGGCCAATTTCTTATCATTTTGATGATTCTTAAACCTCACAGTATACACCAATACTTATATGCTAGATGATCAACCTTTACCCATCGCTTCCTGATAGTTCCTTTCACAATGCAATTGTGTGACCAGAACTCAACTTTATATTTAAAGATATATATCTTATTTCAGTGCTCCAATATTTGCTTCACCAGCAATTAATCTGGGCTTTACTTTATCAAAAACATAGGGTTGGGGTTGATATTGGATATTGGGTCTTAGGATAAAGTGTATACTGTTTGGGCCTGGGTTGAAGTTAGGAATTGAGTTAGAGTAGGGTATGGATCGTGGAGTAATTGTTCCTGCAGCATGGGTCATGAAACCTGTCTTCAGATTCAGAAGGGCACTAACTCCACATCAAAGTATATGAGTTAACGCCCTTCTGGCTCCAAACATAGTGTAATTCAATGATTGACATACCTGCTGTGCAGACTGCAAAGACCATCTGCATGGAATCGAAGAAGAAGAACATGACAAGAAGGGAGAATGAAGCTCCTATAGGAAGGAACATGGCTTGAGTTGCATCTATACTGTGAACTGTGGATAAAAAATACAAGGCAGGAGAGGATAATCAATACGGGCTACATCAAGAAAACTCTAAGAACTGTTGAGAAATAATATACTATAATCACTTTCTAAATATCAAAGATGATAATGCCCTTGGGCAACATGAAGAAAATCTTATGAACTACCGATGAATAACAAGATAATAATAACCTGGGGATAACTTGACAAGAATAGTGTTAACTGGAAGGAAATGATAGAGGTAATTGATTTCTAAATATCAAAGATGATAAAACCCTGGGGTAACATGAAGAAAATTCAATTAACCGTGGAAGAATAATAGAGGTAGTCAATTTTCAAACAAGAAGATGATAATAACGTGGGATGACAAGGTACATTAACTACATGTACATGTACGTGTATAGAATGTGGGGAATTAATATTTAGAGGTAATCATTTTTTTAATATCAAAGTAACCATTCCCTTGGGCCTTCCATAATAAAAATATGATGTATCGTGGAGAAATAATATAGGTTATCAATTTCTAAATATAGAGATGATAATATCAACTGGTTTTTTTTTTATTCATGATAAAATATTATCGGCTTAAGAGATAGAGATGAGATAAACATTTAAAAATCAAGATAATACACAGGGAGTTCCTTCTGTAGTGCTTATTTCCATCAATCAATTGGCAAAGCACACTCCATGACTATCCTGGCTCTATAAACTAGTGTACTTGTTAAAATATATGTGCTTTATTCTCATAATTTTCATTTAAAGGGATCTGGTAACTTTGTCTCAGATTCTGAAAACATATTCTGGATTTAGCTCTTGATGCAATGATAATTATAAACCTTTAGGTCAGTCAGGAACCCCGTGACTTTTACAAGCTGGTCGCCTGTCTGATTATCAAGATATTTATGATTAGAATTACACATTTTGAAAACTGTTCGCCTGACGGTTTTCATAACACTACAGTCTATTGGGGGAAACGAGTATGGTAAAACCGGTCACTCAAAGATTTTTACTTTTTTGAGGCACTTCTTGATCATTTTGAAGCGCAATTTTTTTAGGGCTTCAATATTACATAATATCACAGACACTGATAACACGTAGGGCCGTGTATCTCAGATTTAACATTGTTAAACGATCCCTTTAAAGGTAATACAAAGTTTTGGTATAGGGTCATGAATTTGGTTCAAATGAACATATTGGAAGCATATATATGCGATCCTACAATATTTAGTAATCGTTGTCGCGGTTGAAATCAAGTCTAAAGTTATGAAATTGTAAATAATAAACTCTTTATGTTGTATAGCTCCCTCTCAAGGTCAGGATATTAATTAAGCTATAAAACTAGGCGTTGTGGCGTGCGCCTGTAATCCAGCTAAAAAGTGGAAGTTACAAACTGATTCAGCCGAGGACGCAGGTTCGAAACTGAGTCACGTCTTTCGGATGGTGACGTTTAAAGGTCGGTCCCAGACGTAAATAATCATATCTGATTGATACACGTCTGTAAAAACCCAATACACACACACACACACATATAAAACAATATTTTTGACTAAAATCGACCAATTAGCTATTCCCGTTTGGAAATTATGTATCACAACTACATCTTCTGAGATTTTCATGGTCGCAGCTACCACTGTACGGCCGTAGGCGCTATTCAAAATTTATCAAAATTTACCGGGGGGCACCGGTAAATTTTTATATTAAATTTTTCTCGAAAGCAGAAGTATTTTAGAGGCTAAATTTTCTAGTGCTTATAATACATCCACAGGGGCATCCAAATATATCAAAATTGTAAAGAATCACTATCCACCCAATTTTCAAAATTTCCCAAAACTTTGTAATACCTTTAATAGTACATGTATTACTATTTATGCTTATGATATCTGTAAAGTACGTTCTGTTAGAAGTCCATTGATACAAACCTGCATTAGGTCTCCATTGGAACCACTTTAATTACTGTTATTTATATTAAAAATATCTCTACTTTGTTTGTATTTACTATGCTGTTAATATTTTATCAAAATGGGAGAACAGCTTTAATACCGGTACTAAAATTATTAACCACACGTTTCCTGCAATATCAATTCCAAAGTTCAAATCATGTGATCTTTCCAGATACAAATCAGCCAAGAATCTCCTCTAAACATAATTATTCATTTTAGGAGGACAAGATGAAAAATTGAGATATTATTACAGTAGCAGTTTTCATTTCCTGACTCTAGTTTCATAATCTTGTAAACTATAATAAAGGTTGGTGAGGCTGTGATGATTTCAATCAAAAACATTGATGTTTTATCAAATTTGTCTGGTTCTTTGTCTATTATCACCACATTCAGACTACCGGAACTCATTGTACAGCTATATGATAAGTCATTACTAAATGTTCACTATAATAATAATATTACTTCCAAAAAAACTGTTACTAAAAATTGAAATTGCTAGAGGTTTAAATTTATGGGCATGTGAGCAAGAAGGACGTAACTCACTTGTTTCCATTCCCTTCACATTATAAGCCGATGTATGCCATGTGACCAGAGCTACCAATACCAACTGATTACAAATAATATTCTTTCCCATAAAAATAAAAAAAAATCCTGATTTCAAAATTAAAATGCTATTTTTGATCGATAGGTACTTTCTCTTTGTTAGACTGTGTTCATTGAAATTTTGAAGAACTATGTATGAGTACATTTTACAACCATTTTGTTGAATATGCAAAAGTTTGTCGTGAATGATTGTTCAATGAACCAATGAGAGGCATGTACAGTAAATGTAATTTTATGGACCATATAATTGGTTGTTCGATGAACCAATGAACATCCCCAAATTGCTAATGTGATATGCTTGTATACTTTACAGAAGAGAATGGGCAATTTGCCAGTGAAAATGGAACACACACACAATATAAACTAGCATATTCAAATTTTCAGATTTTTTTTTTTTAAACTGTCTCAATATTTACTTCAAAAAATCGTACAAAATAGATTAAACCATACTGCATGGTTGGTGGCTCTGTGTAACTCTTACCATTCCCATTTTCTGCTGGTTGTGCATTGCCTGGGGGTGGCCCCGATAATGCATTATCCTTCTCTTCCCTCTGTAATCTTTCTTTCTCTTCTTGGTCCATGTTTAGGGATCTAAAAAATAAAAACAAGGCAAAACTTACAATATTTCATCATCATTTAATAAATATCTAAAGATAGCATATACATACATGTACTTCAGGATATGAGAGGGGGGGGGGGGGAAACCGATGAATTGAAATCGAAATTCATGAGCTACCCGTAAGAAAGCCAGCACTGCCATTGACAATACATAGAGCTCTCTTATGACCTTCTTGAAGGTAGTTGACAAATGTCATTAATCTTAAAGGTAATACAAAGTTTTGGTATGGGGTCATGAATTTGGTTCAAATTAACATATTGGAAGCATATGCGATCCTACAATATTCAGTGATCGTTGTCGCGATTGAAATCGAGTCTTAAGTGATGAAATTGTAAATAATAAACTCTTTTGTGTTGTATAGCGCCATCTCAAGACTGATATTTCTTTAGCTTTGACAACAATGTTTCTTGACTACGATCGACCGATTTTGCTATGGTCTTAGACACTACTTTAAATATTTGAAATTTACCGGGAGCACTGGTAAATTTTTCATTATTCAATTTCTCGAAAGCAGCAGTGCTTTAGGGGCTAAATTTTCTAGTGCTTATAATACATCCATAGAGGCATCCAAATATATCAAAATTTTGAAGAATTACTATCCACCCAATTTTCAAAATTTCCCAAAACTTTGCACTACCTTCAATCTGTTTACCAGAATTCTTTTTACAGTATTTTAGATCATTCGGGGAGTTTTCAGAGCTACTGTACCGGTATATAAATTGTTCTCTACTCCATTGTATTTTTTCTCACTGTTATTAATACATGTCGATTCTCATACACAATTATATTAACGGTCAGGTATTTTAGAATGAAAGACTATATTAAGCCTATTTATTCTAGGAAGTTGGTGTACTAATAAGTGTCAGAAAGAAGTGAAAATAAAGGACGGAAGGAAATGCCTGGCCAGGAGAGGTCGTCTGCACTGTTACCACAACTTGTCACTAGAACTGTCAGGTCAGGTTTGTCTGTTGGAAATATAATCCTGTAGAGCTATATTAGCACATGCACATTGTACTCAGTCCAAAATTGTAAGCCTTATTTGATGTCAACAACTCTAGGCATATACTGACAAGTGGATTATGAATTTACTTTACAGACATAATATTTATGGGATTCTTTACACAACTTTTCTTTAGTAGTGGTTCTAAAGAGGTGCAGGGGGGGGGGGGGGACAAGCACTCCCCCTATTTTTCTTTACATGTCAGCCCCCCTCAAACTATTCTTCTACAGTGAAAAAAAATACACGGGGGCTCAGGGCGAATTTGCCCCCGAAATGCCCAAAAGAGCCACTGTAAATTTGCATAGAGTCCAATGCAAAACACATTTTAGAGTGTTATTTTTATGCAGGCAAGCTTGAAAAGTAGCCCCCGAAAAATAAATATTCATTTTTTCCCTGTTCTTTTAGAACTGCTCTGGCTTTTCTCTATGCGATGTTTATCTAAGACGACCTGAAAAGGAAAATATGAGGTTAAAATATTATGAACTGCTCCATTAAAGCATCACACACACACACACGGATATTTTTAAAAACATGAAAAAAGACGCTTTGGATATTCTCGCAACGTTTTTTGAGCAACTGGAGTGTGGACACACTCAGTGTAAGCATTGATCTGCCGTCTGTTCTCAGGATGCCAAAGACAGAACATACCACATACCACAATATATATCTGAACAGAGGCGTAGCATAGGTTCAGCCATAGAGGGGGCACTGATGTCATGGAGGGGATCAGAAATATTGATTAGATAACATGGCAGAGAACAAGGCAATAGAGTAAGGGTGGGAATGAAGGGGGTCATTTCACCTTCTTTTCAAGTTGCCTTTCCTCACTCCCTTTCTTTCTCTTTCCGACATGCGACTAGGAGGCATATATAATCCCATGCCCCTCGGTAGCTACGCCACTCTATCCATATACACTGTCCTGATAGATCAACTCTGCCTAGCTGCCGTCTGACCAATTTCCTACATCACTTTTCATTTTCTCTTTAACCTAGCTGCTCCGTCATTTCTACTCTTCCTTTCCCAAATCCCACTTGTAGGAAAGTATTCCCTTCAGCTCTCAGCTAGACTCTCCTATAGATGTGACCTCACTTTTGACGAGACAATTCAGTAATGGAGAGAGAATGGAAGTGCAATCCAAGACTACGTCACAATGCTACGTCACAATGCTATAAAGTCACTATGCAGAATAGAATGTGGAGAAACATTTCAGAATACATCGATCAGCTGAAGTGAATGTGACAGCACACATATCTATCTTGTCTAAATCTAACCAAGGGGGATGTTATTCATACTTGGTTTTACAGGATTATGAGTTTTTAAAGCTTGGTCCATATGATACAAAAGATGGAAATAACTGCGATGCACATGGGGAGGGTTTATACAAGGAGATAGAGAAGTGGGTTTAGATAGAAAGTATTTTTTCCCAGTTGGTCTTTCTGTATAACAATTGCTCCAACATCAAGGTTGGCAAAGAAAACAATCCCTGATTTAACTCAACTGATTACAAAAAAATTGATTGAAATCACCAATTTCTACATGTATGTGTGTTACTCTTGTAGTCTCACACCCCCCCCCCCCTTCTACACCTTGGTTTGAAAAAAGGTTGTATCTTTCTGATGGTGATGTTTAAGGTCAGTTCCTGTAGACGTAAACAATCTTATCTAATTGATACACATCTTTAAAACGAGTGCAAACAGCCATGTCTGAAGAAAATTTACCAAACCCTAGCACTAACTTTTCGAGCAGTATGCTGATATGTTGGTGGAATTGGATTTAAACAAGTGTATCAATCAGATGTATGTACATCTGTGGAACTCATTTGAAGTAATCTAGACACGACTCAGTTTTGAACCAGGGTCCATCAGTTTCAGTTTGTAGGCAGATAGATGACCTTCACATAATCATGTAACATTACATTTTAAGCTAATATAATATATGTCTAGACTTTAGTTTAATATAACGTGGCCTAAATAGTTTCTATATCATGCCTGTGTTTGTGAAGCTACCATGGGTTCCATAAGTAAATCTCCAAGTTTTCATATTTCCTATAAAAAATAAGGGGGAGGGGGGGGGGGAAGAAAAAAACACCTCTAAAAACCCTCCCAGATAGACCTGATGGAAACTGCTGAACGAACATTCCTCCCTACTTGCTTCCTAGATGACATGATTGGTGGTTACCATGACGATGAAGCCGGCAGCCTAATGAAATGTTTCCAGCTGGCAGCGGAAGAGCCGGGTTATACCGAGAGGAGAGTGGTTGATTAAGACCATGTGACAAGGAGGTGTCGTCTAGCCCTATCACCGTGGACTAGAAAGCTAATGTATTTGCTGAATAATTGCGCTGTTGAGCGGGATGACGTTCCATTAGGTCATCATGGAGTATATGTAGTCATGTTCCTTGTTTTTAGCAACCTCCCGGTAAACCGAGGAGACACTTGTAGAGACATTATTTTATGGTAACAAACTATCAAATAAAATTATCAACTAAATTATTCATTCCCTCACCAAGTTTTGTAGTTTTTTAAGTATGTTGAAAAATTGATTTGTTCCAATTTATTTTTCTTGAGAATGTGACATATTAACCCTTGCATTAAAAAGTATTTAATGAAAACCCTAATTCAACCAGTTTACCTTTCATTTTTTAGTTATGAAAAACACTAAAAATATAAAATTGACTTGGGGTATGAATAATTTAGTTGTTAACTGTATATGACGGACTATACAAAATTCCATTATATAACATGTAAGTATATACAGGAAGAGGAGAAAATGGTGTCATAGAAAATACAATCGTCTGCCAATAAGATGGCTGTGATGAGAGCTGTATATTGTTGCAGACAGACAGCAAACAACATAAGGATACACCATTCTTTGCATTGTCAAAATGATTTCCAAAGTTATGGAACATCTTTGATTAAACCCTATCTATCTCACAGAACTTGTAATATTTCAATTTCATATTTCTAAAGAATACATCAATCACATATATATGGGAATTTACATGTTTGACATTGTTAAATTGGATTCCTTAGAGAACAGATTTTTCCAATGATTTAGAAAAAAGAGTTTTATGTTTGTTGTGGTTAATTTATGTTCTGCTTCAGGAAGCTCAACCTACATATATAAAAACAATGTGCCTATTACAAACTGTTATATTAATTTGTATTTAAATTTCATGTTGTTTTAATAAGTCGATAATATGGCAAAATCATTGACAAAAACATGTTTATTATCATAATATCTATTTGATGACTGACTTAATATTTCCCAACTAAAATAACTTGGTCATGGTTCAAAATTCAGCAACACGTGGGTGAAATGTAACTGATATGCTTTACATCATAATGGGAAAATATTATCAAGAAAATGTCAACGTCTGAGTGAGCACACATTAAATGTACTGGTATCGGCTATGTATTTTTAGGAATGTATAAGAAACAATTTGATTCTATGACTTTGTACTTAAAAATGGGCAATTGTAAAATATGGTACAGGTATGCATTTGGGGAAGGGGGAATCAAAAGTTACAGCAAGAAAGCTGATAAAAATTAAAAGATTTTTATGGTACTGTTATAATATTCAGTGTCTTGTCCTCAGGAAATGATACTTTTCAAATCAAGCCATTGCAATAATCATTATAATCAATTGTAATATATCTTTAGACTCAAATCCGGGGGTTTCATTAATTTCTTCTTACCTGAAACTTCCATAGACTATGAGGAGTATTGAGATGAGGAATGTTGAGACTCTGGATGAGTCTACCAATGAGTAGGCCCTGTAGTAAGAGAGAAAAAGAATACAAACAAGATGAGAAGGGTGAACAATTAATGCAACACTAACTCACTGAACATGATAACAAAGAGATTGTGAAACTTTCAAATCATCTTTCAAATTGTATCTTTCATTTCCAATCACATGATCATCAGAAGTCAAAATTACATTCTGGTTGAGGGTAGATTAAAAGATTTGGCACAGATACTGAAACCATCTGACCGGCCTATAAAATTGTAGCATAACAATCAAAAAGTGTTAATATTATTAGAACACCTGTACAACATGTTAAAACCAGATTGATCTGATGTGTAAATCAAGCTGTCATTTTGGCATGCATTTTCAACCAATTAACATCGGAAATTTGCTTGCCCAAGCGTGTACATTAAATGAAGTTGACATCAATGAACTAAAAATTAAAATCTTATCATAACAAACAAAAAATTAGATAGACTGGTGCTCCAAAATATGCTCTGACAATAACTGCTCCAGGCTTTATTTTGTGAAAGATAAAGGATTAGGCTTTGGGTTGACATTTGGCTTAGTTTAACTTTGGGTTTAGGTTTAGGGTCAAGGTTAGGTGTAGTGTTTGGTCCACATTTGCGACATGTGATTGTGGAAGAATTGTTGCTGGAGCATGTCGTACAACTAAAGGTACGTTTATGCTCAACTTTTCCTGGCCAGAATGAGGCATTTGTTACACGTTTAGTTCAAAACATGGTTGCATCCTTTCTCATTTTTGTAGAATCACAGAATAACGGTGATCGTAATCGCCGATTGTAAACTCACAAAAAGGTGCGTTTTGGATTGGCGATTCTAGGAAAGCATAAACGCACAATGTTTTGTAAACGTGTTTAAATGGGGTCAACATAGCATGCGCAGTGCAGGTTTGCACTGCACTTCTCTGGCTCCTCCAGGCATGATTCTGGCTCTGAGCCAGAATCATGCCTGGAGGAGCCAAAGAAGTGAGCATAAACAGTACACCGTGGAACTGCGATTACGATGAGCGTTTCAAATCGCTCATTCTGCTTTCAAAATTGAGCATAAACGTACCCTAACACACAGCACGTGAAGGGGATTGTGGTACAGCTCATTAATATTTTTCAATGAATGTGTAAAATTGAAAGGTATACTAAATGTCTCATTTAAAATGTTGAGATATTGAGCTACTTCTGTACATGTATGAGGTACTGCATGAAGACCTACATTGGGCCGATTTTACACAGTAATCTTTGTTTATCTAAAGTAATTTGTGACTGATCTTCCTGAAGACCACCGAATAGGAGAGAGACTTTCTGTTTACAAATAAAACAAAACTCAAGGATATCAAAGGGCAACCGAAAGCAACTAATATATCCTTATTTAGTTTCTCCTACTACCAAAACACATTTGACAAACCCCAGACACAATGGAAAGTATAGTGTGACAAAGGATAATATGTGCAAGTGTACGATTGAAAGAAAGTAACGTGGAAGAAAAGTTAAAGGAAGAATACATGTAAAGGCAGATAACTCTTGAATCTTGAATGAGAAACTACCGGTAGTAATTATTTTGTATTGATCACAATGTCCTTTTGTGTTTTTCTGGTAGTAACATGTACATAGACAAAAGAGAGATATCCTCTGTTTGAAGTCAGAAGGGCATTAATATTGGTTAACTCCCTTGTGGCTCCAAACATATAATACTGAACATACATGTAATGTAGGAGTGCACATTAGAATTGTTCAACATGAATTTATCACACGCCATTGTTAACCGGTAGCACAAAATTGTTTGGTACCAGCAACATTGACAACTGGGCTAATATAACGACACTTCAGTAATCTATAGTACTGAACATAAATATCATGTACATATACGCATGTAAAGTAGGAGTGCACATTAAAATCGCTGAACATGGACAATGTACACATACACTTAGAAATACATACTGTACATGGACCAGGCATGCACAAACATGTACATATTTCCCATTGGAGCTAAGGAATTAACTGATTTAAGACTGTTAACCCATTCTAATCCAAGAACTTCCTGTCCAGTATAATGTTGAGCCAACTGTGAGACGGTTTATATTCATTAACGAGGCTCTACTTTTCATGGTGGGGGAATACACTGAAACCTGCTGTGTTTTAAACAAAGTACATTTACTACTAGAAAGTATGTAAGTCTCTACATGTACATTCATGTAAATCAAGAGCATCACTATATTACTTTGATAGGCGGTGGTGTTGCAAGTACAGTAGTTTTCCTAATTTGTTACTGACAAGCAGAAAAGAAAAAAAAAAAATATAATAAACCAAAACATCTCCCCAACCCCCCCCCCCAAAAAAAACCCTGATTTTTCAAGAGTCACATCAACAACACCCCCTTCCCCCCCCCCCACCCCCACCACAAACACACCTTGCAGTAATGCCTAGTTCCTAAAGCATTGAGATTTGGTTTAAAATTGTTGTATTGTAGGCTTTAAAACATTCCCACAGGAAGTACTGCACATGCAGACCAATGAGTTCATGCACTTAAAATGCAATGTAACACTCATAGAGTATTATCTAAACAGATAAACAACTATGATTCTATGTAGATACTTCCTAGTATTTGATATGATACATATCAATGACATTCAAATGGACATACCTAAAAAAACATCCGTAACATTACATTGTACCTTACATGAAAATGTAATCTAACCTTCACTGGCTACAATGTGCTTGAATCAATACAGACACACTTTAGTACATTACTCTCATCAATGTAAATCACACAATCTTTCATGACTAATATTAAATAACAGTTCCTCTCTAAATAACATTTATTTACACTTTATCACTCAAGACCCTCGTAAGGTAGCCCAAATGGGTTTTTATTCAAACAAAGATTCACATTTATGGTGAGTCCTTTTTGTCCTCAGTTGCATCTTATCACTCTAATGAAGGTGCTGGAAGCGCTGTACACAATGTCATGTCTCCCCAACCTTAAGAAAGAGTCCAAAGTCCGATACACCGAATTAACTCTTGAACTAGCTCCATTTACAACCAAAATTGTCGGTTTATATCACATTTCAAAAATAAAAAAACCCACCTCTGGAGTGTGGTTTTTTTAAAAGCCCGCCGAAATTTCAATGTTTTTTTGCAGTGCAAAATCTAACTTCTGTGAGATACCTTTTTTTTGTCACGCGACTCTCCTTGCTAACGCATGCAGGGTATCCATGAGTGGGTATATGTGCACTACTCACCAACAAAACTATATGAGCATGCAAACTTCCAACGGTTTTTCCAGTAGTGTAAATACAGTGTAGTAGTCCTTCCCCCAAAAAATTAAAAATTAAAAAAATTTGATGTTTTTTCAAAATGGTCTTTGTGGAAGTGTAAATGGGCCTAGTGTTCAATGTACTATGGAGTGCTTTCCCTATCATGAGACGCTGCACAAACATGAATTGTGTGCAGTTTTGTAACAATAATGGCATAATGTCTCTTGTAATGCACATTTTGAAAATACAGTCAGCATGGAGATAATACAATGCTCTTTAAATTTGGTTACATACAGTGTATTCCTAATGAGGGTGAGAGATCAAGAAATTAGACAAGAGGTCTCCAACCACTATTCAATTGAGTCAATTGCAATATCCGAAAAAAGTGATTCTAGGTGGCATTACATGTACATGCTACTTTGTATACCGGTAAACAAGAAAATACTTTTCTGTAACCATGACTTTTTACAGCCAAAGTGTTTTGAAAGTTGGACCGAGATGTTTGTTACTATTAGGGAGCACTAGTATCGAAAGTGCAACGCGATGGAAACCTAATCTTCATTGGATCTCAACTCACATCAGCATGACACCTCTTCAACAAACATAACCTCTCACCCTCGTCAGTCAGTCACTCAGAGTTTCTAAATTGGCAACACCGCATCCATATCAACTACTGGTACAGATTTTGTATCGGAGCTGCTAACTTGGCAACACAGCATATGAACAAACTATTTTGTATCAGAGCTGTGTTCTTTGACCACAATTAATATTAGAATGAAAATCGTTCTCTGTTGACAGAATCACTTGCTATTAAATGAATATATTTGTTTACTGACACAAATACTGAATCTTCAAAACCTAGTATTTTGAAGGGAACCTTCCAATGTTCTTCTCAAAATTGGTATGGTGTTTAAAATGTTTACTGTTAAAGCTATACAGTCTCTTTATAACCATACAATAAATAGTGATGTCTGAACATATGTCAAAATCACAACAAAATCCATGAATTGCATTGTGACATAAAACCTGTATTGAGTGAGAACAACTATGACCCACTTATACATGTAACACTGTGAGAAACAACAAATGTCATCATTTTACAGTCCATTGCACATGGTGAACTTCTTTTACAGAAAACTAAACATGTGCTTTGTTATGTAAATTGTATTATGTATGGTGAGAATCAGTGTATGTCAACACACCAAATCAAGTCTAATTGATTAGATTATTAATAGACTTTGAACAGCTGACAAGACATACTGTAGACCAACAAATATTGCTGTGTTTTGTAAGCACTTGATGGACAGCAAAGGACTATTGACTATTGATGTAAACATACTCTTTGGATTGAATGCATGTACCAGAACGTGTTACAACAGAAGATTAATAGATATATTTCCACATGACTGCAATATCTGCATGCAAGTTCTCCTGGGATAATGAGTGCTAGAAAAACTGCTTGCTTTAAAAGAAATGCCCACCTTACACTTGATACAGGAGTGAGGTGTGATCCCTGTACAGAATTCAGTAGTCATTGGATTACAAAGTAATACTCCAATGTTGCTGTTCTGAGGAACTTATTCTTAATTTGTCATTCATACCTTGGGGGCCAGAAGAATTTTTTAAAAGCCTGACCAGTGGAAATTGCAAAGCAGGTAGATTTCATACTTCTTACAAATAAATACAACAAAACTACAGGGAACAGATACAACAAACTACAGGGAACAGATACATGTAATACATGCTGGTGGCAGCGGTGGGATTTGAACCCATGTTTTTATGTCTTTAGGTAATCAAAGAAAAGACAATGCCTTATAAAATGACGACATTTTATTTGTAAGAGGAAGACTAGAAGACTAGATTTCAAGAGTAATCTCTGTGTTTTGCAAAGTACAATTTTTTCCATGTGAGAAAAATATAAACATATAAGCACATTAGAATATATTTATCAATATATTTTGTATAGATCAAGGCTATACACAAACAACTTAGAATGATGTAGGGAGCAGTTTCCAATGCATCATCTAGACTCTAAGAAATGCGAACACCACCACCCCCCCACCCCCCCCCCCCACCCCCAAACAAACAAAAACAGGTGATTGCCATTGCCATTGGACAGTAGCTGCATATAAAACTGTTCTACAAGGAGGTACAGGCACCCAGTGGGTTTGTGTTCTTATGGACCAGGGCTACACAATACCGATGACAAAAGAACAACTGCCTTGGAACATGCATACGCATACATAACACTGAGGGGGAGCCGCGCATTGTCCACACACCCTAAATATGGAACAGAATACAATGTCCTTTTACCAAAGTCTGCAGAAACCCACAACAAAGAAGAAACTCAGCTAGCTAGCTTGACTGTTTATGTGTGCATGCATCACTGATTCACTATTCATTCCAAGACGCCTTAAAGAGGTGATCTTTCTGACCCAACAAACACCTAACCCTCCTTACAAACAAAGTACCCTGTCCATGCATTTACATGTACATGAGACAGATAATCTACAAAGTACAAAGGGTGGATAAGAATCATCGTTCCGCAAGAATCTTCAAGATTAAAGGAAGCAGACTAAACCAAAGAAGAAGAAGAAGATAAATCAAATATATTTTTATCATATAAAATAAAGTCAATTTTTCCTTACAAAGAAAGAAAGATGATTTTTTTCTCACTAGTGCTATTATGAAGAAAAAAGTATGACACGTACATGTATGACTATAATGATACGACTGTAATAGTGCAACTTAAAAGCCTATAAATCCATATACATGCTCAACAGACTGCTCTTATCTATAGATACAAGAGAATCAACAATTAACAAGCTTAGCTTTTGTTCTAGATTCCCCGTATTTAACTACAAATATATTTGTCTAATTTCAGTCAATTGTATTATAATTTATGTTATTTCAACTGTATTATTATTACTTTCATGGCTTGATATTGTAATATGCATTTTTTACAAGAAAAAAATCTAATTCTTATTGGTATTGCTTATGGTAATATGAAATAGAATAATAAATAATATAAATAATATAAAATAAATATGAAATACTAAACTGAAATGATACATCCAGACCCCTAAATGTAGAGTAAACATAAATAACATTATCTCTCATGTCTTAATTGTATTATCTTTAAAATACCACATACATAAGAAGAACAATAATAACCAATATGGGGAGATTCTTATAAACATATTGTTTGTCAGCCGTAGCCTAATTTGTGCCATGCTTCATCTGTAATCATGATCATAACAGGCTGACATGTAGTATGTACGAATGGATATTTTTAAGCCACACATCATCATCTTTTCCAAGTTTCACTTGGGGAAAGACCAACAAAATCATGCCAATATATATGTGATATGTGATAAGACAGTGATTGAAAACACTGGTCTCTGTGCATGAAGAGAATAAATCCAAGCCTGTCATAATTATCCAAAACTGAATAACTGAATAACTTGCAAGTTCAACATGACTGAGCTGAGCATGAACAATGAAACTTGCAATTTACGTGAGAATTATTATTCTAAACAGATCCCCTCCGCGCATCAGGGTTTTACAGGAGACTCTGAGGAATAAAAGAGCATTGATATTTGAATAATAGTATGAGAGTGCAGCATGCAGTATTACAGGACGATAACTTACAATTCCATATTGGTTTGGCTGATCTCCTCCATGTTGGTATGAGGGAAGTTTCTAATTAAGACAGGAAGAGAAATCACAGTTCCATTTCAGCACAAAGAAGCAGGCAGCTTAGATATATCCACAAAATTCACAAGGCTTGAATGAGCTACAAACAACAGCAGGTTACTTTCTATGAATCCAAAACCTTCTCCATACCGCAGGCAGGGTTTAGCTAGCTATAGAGCTAGTGTGCAATGAAGACGTATAGCTAGCTGCACTAGCCATGCACGGGATGGATAGAGCATCTGTGTATACACCATGTAGAAAGTTTGGCCATGAACATGAACCGCTATTTGCCACTTCCTTCCCAAATACTTTCTCTCGTTCTACCCTGAATGCACTGTGCACGCTAGCTACGTAGCTGGATGCATATGAATCTAGGCCTCTCTATGCACGACAGCACACACTCACTCGTCTTCTGTCTCTTCGTAAAGAAATGACCCAAACACTGCCAGCTCTGCCGCTATGCAGTAACATAGGTCCCTCCTTCGCTCGCTTTGCATACAGGCTTTGTTTGTGTGTGTGGGTTTAAAGGGGGGTGTGTATACAGCAGTATAGCGTAGCTGCGTAGTGTTGTGCACTTGTAAGCAAGCTCCGTCTTGAACCTGCACATGTATGCACTGCTTAGGTTATTATTCCTTAGTATGATCTGTAGGCCGGCTTAGCTACTGTAGACCCATGCCTTTGATCTGATATCTTTACTTTTATTCAGGATACAAAAGCTCCCAAACTACACTGTAACCACAGATTATCCTACCAGTACCAATTAAGACTAATAAGAGCCCTTATTCCTCAATAAACACCTCAAAACAATTGTTCATTTAATGTTTTGTCTTGTTGTGGTTCCTATAAAGCCAAATAAGGAAACAACCTTTGTTCAGCCAAGTCAAACCCATAGGCTGTTTTTCCTTTTGATTAACTAAAGCCTTCTTCAAATGTGGTGAGGTAAAACTCAGTTTTGTAAGACGTAAGGTTTAATATGCTCCACCTTTCTGTATCTTCTAACACAGCTAGAGCTGAGTGAATATGCGCAGGACCTTTGTTGCTGTGGTTTACAGTGTCTTATTTGAAAGACCTGCATGCACAGGTGGGGGCAAAGATATGGGCCCTACCATGGTCCTTGACATGGTTAATTGCAACTTAAATGCATAAATTGGCAATTAGAATGTCTCATTACAAGATAGTGGAATATTGGGAGGATATTTATAGATTGTTAACTTGTTTTTAACTACTTAGCTGATTGTTTGACCAAAATATATATTTATGACAGCAAGACATGTCTAACCATCCAGACAACCAGTATTTAATAAGCAACAAAGCTGTGCTCACCCTTTAAAAAGGGCATCATATATGGTACTTCCAGCCTTTTTATATTCTTTACAGTATTTTTTAAACAAAATCAAATTGGCAAGCATTCACACCTAATAAAAATTCATATTGTATAAAATGTAGTGTACACTAAATGAAAGATTTCTCCCCTCATACACATAATTATGTACCATTCACAAGTGTATGTATGTGTAGGTGGTGGGGGGGGGGGAGGGGGAGGGGGTGAAGCATTATGTGCTTCACTTTTCTATAAAATGCAACATTAAAAAAAAAAAAAAAAAAAAAAAAAAATTACTAAAGAAAATGGTAGTTATTCTACAAAAAAAGCCTCTTATGGGAGCTCTAATTTACAGCTAATGTCACTGCCAAGTTTTTCTTTTAACAAAAATTGTAAGGATTGACAGCCAAGCCAAAAAACATACATGTAATTTGCAAGCTCTGTATACATAATATCTGTCAAATAAATTTGCTTTCCTATGAGCAAGATTGATCCACTAATGAACTGCTGTAAAGTTTGCTTCATTAAGATGATGTGATAAGTTAGAACAGAGGTAAAATATAATTTAGATCACCTGGTTGCCACAGATTGAAATTAATTTGTTTTTCAACAGTTTTCAAATTCCTGCCAAATCTGCAGTGAATTTCAGACAAACAGGTTTGTAATTTTTTGTTTTCAATAAAAATATGATGCATTTTGTCATCATTATGACAGTCTCAATTACCACACCTAGGTGATGATGATTTGTCATTGGTGTTGTATGCACTCACAGAAGCTGCAGCATTTGCTCAAGCGAATTCCCGAATAGGCCCGAATTCATAAAGGAGGTTTAGAGTTAACCCATGGTTTAAATCCTCATTTACATAACCCATGGTTTAAAATTAGCGCAAAATAAGCGCAACACAGTCAAGCAATATTAGAGGAGCACAAGGCAGGGTATGCTTAATATGCGCTAATTTTTAAACCATGGGTTATGAAAATGAGGGTTTGAACCATGGGTTAAATTTAAACCTCCTTTGTGAATTCGGGCCAAAGGGTTGTATTCTTGTTTTAAGTTTAGGGTAAAGGTAATGGATAGTTATACGCTTTTTTCAGGTTGAAGCTAAGAATTCAGTAAGTGTAGAAAAGTAACTGCTATTGTCACCAGAGTATGACTTACTACTTTTAAAACAAATCATAGCACAAAGAAATGTTTTAGTGTTTTACTTTCGGGATAAAAAAAGTTTTTCTTATTGTGAACATTTAAGTTACACACATCGTACATTAATTTCAACGAGCCAGAACAAAAAGAAAACCCAATAGAGAATATTGTTATTAGAATAGAAAGACTCAAGACAAAAATGCAACTATGTTCTCTTTCCTTGTAAATTTATACTGTTTTCATTTTTTATAAATTGCATAGCTACATGTATTAATTGATAGAGGTGAATCAAGTATCAAGTTTATTTGTCTTCCAGAAAACACATGTGACAAAATATAATAGAGTACTTGGTACTTGGTAGGATTCCTCCAAAAGACGCCGTAAAGGTGTTTAAATTGGAGGTGGGTCGTTATGTGCGGCCACCAACTTAAGGTGCTGGTTTTAAGTCGGTTTTAAGCGCAGATTTCAAGTATTTAAGGAAGGTTGGGCTACAATTGAGGGAGAAGACTGTTCCAATCCGTAACTGTCCTTGGGAAGAATGAGTAAGCGTATGCGTCCGTCCTGACTTTGTTGATATCGAATTGTAATCATAACAGTACAATGTAGAATAAAGGAAGACGAGGAGACCTTGGTTGAAGCACAGCTTGTTAAGTTAAGGCCCCCTCATATGATGTGACAAAGATAACTGATTCATGAATACAACAAATATGGAATATATAAAACTATTTACAAAATACTCTCAGAGAACAACTACCCAACGATGAATCGACCCCAGTATCATTAAAAAAAAAAATTCTCTGAAGAAAGAGTTAAAGGAAGAAAAGCCATGATGATACAAATATCAAAATAATAAAAAGATTTTCTTTCTGGCTATCAAGAAAGAAAAATGCCTTGTTAGCTGTCGCCAGATGTGTCTTGTGGTGTGAACAAACTTACCTTATTTTGCACTATTTCCTGCCAATCTCTTCTGAAGATTTTTGGACTATTTGTTATTCAACCTGTTTGGACAATTTATAGCAAGGTATGGATCTATTTCGAATCATCGTTTTCGTGCATTTTATGAGTTTGTATTTGCTGACATTGTCGACTAACTATATCGTAGACACTTACACAGAAAAGCATATAAGGGGTCTTCACCCTCGTAACCCCTTTCTTATGCAAAGTACTGACGCGGACTTAACAATGGAAGGCGTTCACGGCTACCGCGGGACTGTGATACGGTACTCAGCCGATGAACTTCTCCGATTACGTAATACCGTCGCGTCAAATCAAATGTTGCCGGAGTGGCATGGCGTTGCTAAGGAACTTGGTATTGAAAGACGGAAACGAGGAAGGAGAGGCGGCCAGCATATTCGACGCCCAATCAAACCAATTGTGAATTATTTTGATAGAGAGCTCTCTACGATTCAATCTCGGAATGTAGATCAAACAAATTTGGTGGAAATTAGAAGAACCAAACAGAACAGAGATCGTTCGAAAGTATCTTTCCCATCTTTTATTATGAGCAATGCAAGATCTTTAAACAATAAATTTGATGAGTTTGAGGCCTATGTGTCGTCTATAAAGGCCGACGTTGCCGTAGTGACCGAAACTTGGTTTGCGGATAATTTATCAAAAGACAATGTTTCCATAAATGATTATGACTTGTTTGCGAAGTCGAGGTCTCATCGCAGAGGAGGCGGAGTAGCTATATATGCACGACAGTTCCTGAAACCTGAGCCAATGTCAAGTGTGGCCGTCCCTGATGACCTTGAGGTGGTGTGGATCAAGCTCCAGCCACAAAGACTTCCCCGGTCTGTTTCCATGGTGGCGGTTGCGGCAATATATCATCCTCCTAATGCCGCGACTGCTGATACCCTGATCGACCATTTGCTGCACTCGATGGACGCCATTGCATCTACACATCCAGAGACGGGTTTCATCTTGTTGGGGGACTACAATGAGTTAGACATCTCGACGCTAACCGCAAATAGGGGGTTCCGACAAGTTGTCAGTGTACCAACAAGAGGTGACCAGATTCTGGACAAGATAGTCACCAATATGTCAGGCTACTATAATTCCCCAACAACTCTACCCCCATTGGGCTCCAGCGACCACCTTGCGGTTTCCTGGATCCCTACCCAATACTCACCGAAGCCCAATCGCACAAGAACTCGGATTGCAAGACCAATCAAAGACAGTGCTATTCGCGAATTTGGACAGATTCTCCAGAACTATGATTGGTCTCCAGTTTATCAAGCCGAGAACACGAACGACAAGTGCGATACGTTCTATTCCACACTTCTGCCATTGATTGACGAGTATTTCCCCTTAGTTGTTGTCAAATGCCACGACAATGATAAACCATGGATTTCCCCTAAGATCAAAGCCCTTATTGGTGCACGTCAGCAGGCTTTCATAGCAGGTTCGAACAAATGGAAAGGACTGAGGAACAAAGTGAATAAACTAATCAAAGGGGCAAAATCTGAGTTCTATGTCGGACGCGTGCGTAAGATGAAGGAGAGCAATCCATCTCAGTGGCACAAGAACATCAAATCAATGGCAGGAAATAAGCCCAAACCACCTGCCATTGAGGTCGAAGGGATCGACGAGTCAGACCTCGCTGGTATTGCTAACACGATCAACAAGTTCTTCGTCAGCATATCTGAAGACATCGGTAGACTCGATTTGACTGATCTCCCAACCTATCTCCCTGCTCTACCACTGCCTGTTATTAAACCTTGGGGTGTCTACTGGGAATTGCAACATCTTAACAGACGGAAAGCTCCCGGTCCAGATAGCATCCCAGCTCGGATCATCTCCGAATTTGCGTTAGAACTGAGTAGCCCTCTTACGGCCATTTTCAATGAATCTATCAGAGAATCGGTGGTGCCACACCGCTGGAAACGTGCAATTGTGGTACCTATCCCCAAAACCTCCAAACCCACCATAGGAGACTTGAGACCGATATCGCTCACAGATCATTTCGCAAAGATCCTGGAGAAATTCATCTCAAAGTGGCTGGTGGGTGACATTGGACCTGCGATTGACAAGTCACAGTACGGCAATAGGAAGGGCTACTCGACTGCACACTATCTGATAGATATACTAAATACCATCCATCGGAATGCCGAAAATCCCAAAACGGTCACAACACTGGTGGCTACAGATTTCAGCAAAGCTTTCGACAGGATAGATCATGGACTAGCGGTTAGG